AGAACCCCCTAGCCAAGGGTATTAATGGATATTTTACAAGATACAGAAATGTGATGTTATTAAACCATATATACCTTTTATAATTTACCAGAAAGTCTTATTTCTGGGGGACCATCAGTCACACTTAAATGGTCAAACACAACATTGAGTACTTTGTTGCTCTCATGTGCATTGTAAGAGCTGAATAGTAGAGAAGAAAAAAACTATTGAATTGAATTATATAACTGTCATTTCCATCAAAAAACAAAGTCAGGCATCTGCTTACACTTCCATCCCTAAACTAAAATTTATCATATAGACCTAACTCTTCTAAAAGAAATAAATCAACCCTCTGATAGGCAAACATGAAGAATCATTAAATGAAACCACATTATCACTTGCACATTAACTATATCCTGTCTTGATTAAGATCAAATATTTAATTAAATCAGCATGAAATCAGGAGGCTAGCCAAACATATGTAAAGCTAGCTCTTACCCTCAACAGCTTATGCTTCCAAAATAAGGCAAGTGGAATATTTTTTATGTGCACATAAAAAAGACAAATTTTTCTTAGGAGTTTGCAAGAGTTTCCCTCTAATTCAGAAAATAAGCAATTAAGTTCACTGCAAAACCCCAAAATACAATTCAAAACAAATACACTAGTCTCCTTATCTGTGGTTTCAGTTACCCACAGTCAACTGCAATCTGAAAATAGGTGAGTACAATACAATAAGATATTCTGAGAGAGACAGAGAGAGAGAGACCCCATTCACATAACTTTTGCTACAATAAGTTGTTCTAATTGATTATTAGTTAGTGTTAATCTCTTACTGTGCCTCATTTATAAATTAAACTTTATCTCACAGGTATGTACATACAGGAAAAAAACACAGCACATATAGAGTTAGGCACTATCTGTGGTTTCAGGCATTCACTGGGGGGTCTTGAAACACCCTGCCCCCAACCAAGGATAAGCAGAAGTTACTATATTCCTTCCTTCTAAGTTCCTTAATAGGACATACAAGTATCACAGCCAATCACCTTGCCGAAGTATGTAACGAAACTGATGAAAGCCAAGAGACAGCACCTGGTAAACTTACCACATCCTGCTGTCCTGCCCCACCCAGTCTCCACTCCCACCGATCCAGAGAGCCTCAAAGCAGTAGCTTTGGTAAACTGATAATACTCTATACATTGATACTTGATAACTTGATAAATTGATAACAGTATTTCAAAAGGAGAGTTGGAACAAATACAAGAAAGTACATAAGATTGGTGGTTTAATTTTTTTTCAGAGTAGCTTTGCTGATGCTTCCATACCAATTCACTTTAGATGACTTAGAACTAACTGTGAGTTTTTGTTAGGTTCTAAATCACATTCCTAAAACATTTCTGATATATCTGGAGAAAAAGTTATGTCTTACTATATTTGCTATCATGACAGCTAGAATATTTTGTTGATATTAAACAAATGCCTGTAAAAATTATTAATCACTCCCCTGGACCTAATGGTCAAATATTTTTCCAAAAGACTGACTCATTTAGTGAGTCAAAGAATATTTACATACTTTAACTTATAATAGGCCTAAGTAATATTGTTAATTTAAGTAGAAAAATTGTAGAGGGTAAAAAGGAGATAGGTCACATCATCCAAAGAATTAAAACAGACAATTTAATAACAGCATTAAATTATAGTTTTCTTATTAATGGGAAAAATGGACAGGCATTAGGGCAGCTTAGAAATAACTCGTTTGTATAAATTCCACTAGTTTTCTAACAGTTAAAACTACAAAACAGAAGAAGGTCAATTTAAATCATCCTTTGCTACAGGACACATCAGAGCCAATGGTGACATTTATACTTAACATTATGTATATTCAATGCAGATTAGATATTTTAAATAATACTGATGTGTGTGTGTGTGTTGTTGTTGTTTTAATATCTCAGTGCTTACTATGTGCCAAGCAATGTTCTAAGCACTTGACAGGTGGCAACTCATTTGATCCTTACTATAATCACATGAGGTAGGTACTATATTTCCCCCATTTTACAAATAAGTAAACTGAGGTATAGAGAGGTTAAATTGCTCACAGTCAAATAATTCCCAGATGGCAGATCCAGGATTCAAACTGAGCCGTCAGGCTCCAGAGTCTGCTCTCTTAACCACTGCGCTGTTTTGAGCTGGACTGGCATCTATTAATATAACTGAGAAAAAGCCCTCATCACAGGCAATTTCACAGTATGTTAGAGGTTGATTTTTCCTAGACTTCTTTGCTTCTGTGCAACACTTAGATATTACCATAAATTATACTGAGTGGAAAAAAAAATCAGTGGATCGATAGATCACAAAATGAGACTTCAAGTCACTTTGCTTTGAAATGTGCCTTTGAATATATTGAGGAAAAACAGACATGAAGTCTGTTAATCCAGGATAGTAATTACAGACAAAAATAAATACGGAGACATGCCAAAATTTAAATAAAGCTAAGAGAGTCATACTGATACAGTACCAAATTTTACTGGAAATAAACTAGGAATAAATTTTAAAAAATCATCAGAATTTCTGCTCACCCTGATTTTCCATATTCCAATGACTAGAATTAGGGTACCAGTTAATATAGTACCAGCAAGAAATCCTTGAAGGGGAAAAGATATGGTAACACAGTTAATAGAAACACGAGCAAGTAAAATTACATTATAGTTTCACAATGACAAACATACTGGTTATGAAGTGAGTTAAAAAACAGGAGATATTAATTGCATTTTGTATATGGCTTCCTTATGTCATAAGTTTTTGACAAATGCGTGTTTTATTTGTCCTGTTTTCTTTGAAAGAAAAAGGAAGAAATGTATTTAGAGTATCACAATGCTCAAATAAAATTTTTTGACAGGTTTGAGAGGCTTCTAAAGTGTTTCAACCCAATCATGCTCGATTTTAAATGTTTTGATCGTTGAGCATTCAAATATGGTGACAGAATTATGTTATTTTAGAGCTGGAAAGTATCTTAGAGCTCACTTTCATTTTTTAGACGAGTAAACTGAGTCTCAGAAAGAAGGAACATTAACATATGTGGTTAACGGGAAGGACATTTACCTAGTTTATAGTAGATATAACAGATATGTAGACATTTTTCCATCACAGGAAATATGCTTGTACTATTATCATCTGAGATTGGAGGGCAAACTATATTTACTTTGCCTACAGAATATGCTTTTTAGTGTTCAGCCTATTGTAGATTAAATTTCATTTCAAAAATTTATATTCACTTTTAAGATTCAAAGCACTATTTTGAGCTGAACAGCAGCAAATAATTGGTCAAATAAGGTGGTCAATATCAAATCATTTTCATAGCTTACACAATCTTTCTTCTCAAATGTACCCATTTGCCCTTTTCTCTCACCATCCTTGTTCTCCCTTTCCTCACCAACACCCCCCTACCCCCACCACCATCAACCCTGTCCAGTGTCCTTGGACTCAACTCTGTTGGTCTGTACTACAAAGGAAATGATAGATGACACTAGAAGAGTAACTGAATCTAACATGGCTAATGAGTGTGTTTGGCTCCAAATCAGCAAAATAGAGACACTGTACAATTGCACTGCCAGATGGAAATTATGATTTAAAAAACAGCTATTTCTACCACAGGTAAGTTTTTACAGTATTTCACTTTATAAGTTTATTTAACTGATCCCCTAGGATTGTATCATTAACTTAGAAAGACTATCCATGAAATAAATCACAGCTTCTAAAAAATTTTGGGTTTCCCCCTTCCTGTCACCAGTTCCCACTAATTCCATCATTTTCAATATCTTATTTTTTATTTGAATGCTAAATCAAGATAGAAGATTCAGAGTGATCTAGAACATCCAGATGACAGAAGGAAAAGGCTATTCCCAGAACAATGATCAACACATATACATAGTTCTAGAAGAAAGTATAGAAGCTGATAGTTTAACAGAAAACCAGGCCAAAACACAGAAGTATGAAAAACAAAATTCTACGTATCTTCTCAGTAAATTAATAAGAGCATATGATC